CAATACTTCCATTCTTTTTACAAAAAAGGTTTGAATGAAGGTGTTTAGTATGTTTACAATGTATTTTAGGCTTTATCATGAAAAAAAACTATTTTTGAAAATTCAAGATTGATGATCCAAGATGGCGGATATCTTAAATATGCATGACGTCATTGTATGACGTCACCGGTGTTGCTATGGGCAACATAAGACTTAGTACACACTAATATTCTGTCATAAACACTTTTGGTAAAGTTATGTTGTATACCAGGGAGGTTTTCAGGGAAAAACCTATTTAGACGGTTTTGGCCAATAAAATCACATTAATGACGTCATAATGACGTCATATGACGTCATAACGACATAAAAATTAGTAGATATGATAAATTTTCACTAGTACACCATTCTCTGAAAATTTGGTGGTCATACGACACTACCGTTCGCGAGTTCGGTTAGGGGGGGTACAAAGACGACCCCCCCCCCCGGTCCCCCCATGTCAAAAAAAGCCCGGTCTAGGTAGGGTTAAACATCCTAACACACTTATCGACAAGACTAGTGGACCTTCCGGCGGTGCGACCGTGTTTTTAAACCTTACAGTCCGGTCTTACGTATACGCAGCTTGTACTTACAAAACACTAACACGAACACAAGCCGACCATGACTGTGAGACCACACCTAACTTTCTTTAGGGATCAAATGGAAATCGAAAATCTATCGTTTTAACGAGTTAAATTTGAGTCAAATCTGACGTGAAAGGCAGTCACACCTTAACCTAGTTCCGAACACCAGACAAACTCCGGCTAACCTCCGATTCACACCCAATGTTTTAAACACCTTTAACACGCGTAACATGTGTAAATTATTAAGAGCAAGGCATTTAGATATATACCTGAGAACTTTCGTTCATAGTTTGTCTTTTAATACCGGTAAGGCGGTATATTACGGAAAATATAAAATCGAATATTGTATGAAAATACCTTGACCATTGTGACATTGCGCAGCACTGCGCTATCACTAAGATTGGAATCAGTGCGAACTCCTTAGGAATCGAAAAAAGGCGAGATATGAAACTGTGTCGGAGAGGATTTGATAATATTATTCCTTAAATGCAATGGAAGACGAAAATCATTTTATCAATAATTGTTCATTTATAATGCTATATCAATCATTTACGGTCGTTTCTAGCGTAAATTGGTATCTGCAATTATCCCATGGGAATGTATTTGCAATACCCTTCCTTCTTTGAAACATTCGGCTGACGCTGCCGCACAGTAGCCGACATGTACGGCTACCAGCCGACCTGTGCCTCACCGTGCTTGGGGAGTTCGGCTAGTGTTCGGGAGGCTATATTCCACCTCTTGTCAATATCACGCTTTTAAAAAATACACAGTTGACTGTTTCCACTATGTGACCTTCAGGCTTGGATATGTAAACATACCTTTCATTTCGGAAGCTTGTTGATTTTAAAGCCGTGCTGTGCTCCAGTGCAATGGCATTCTAGTCAAAAGATGTAATACTGATTGGTTGATTGGATAGAAATAGCAAAGCATTCCTTGTTCTGCGTTCGCATTTTTTCTAGATGAGGTGAATCTCCCTTTTCATGTAGTTTTGGTTGAATAGCTGTCTGTATAGGTGTGTACATGTGTGTTTAACCCTCTCAGAATACCTTACAATTTGGTCTCAGGTTTAACACCTTTAAAAAGGTAATAATCACCTGTTTTGTCAATCCTTCCACAGATGTGGTCAATCTTAATAAACTGACTGATCGGTTTGATTGACTAGTGCACTGAGTAAACATACAAAAAGAATGCAGCAATGTGACAATGTGGGGTCGTGCGGCGTAGCGGTGGCGTAGCGGTGCGCGACTGTGAACTTAGAGTCCCGGGTTCGAGTCCTGACATGCCACCGATCTTGTGCCCTTGGGTAAGGCACTTTACACGACTTTCCTCACTTCGCTCAGGTGTAAATGAGTATTGTCTTGTCATGTAGTTGTCCCCTGTGTTGGTGGTGGCATTAATATAAGTTGAAAAAACTTGAGTGTGTCGTCAGCACGTCTGGTGATTACATGTTGGAATTAAAAAAAAAGTGACAATACGTTTGGTACTACATTCTTTATACTACAGCAGTGACCATTCAGTACTGCAATGAGTAAGGTGACGGACGGTTACTGAAATGACAGCTCATTAAAGTTGTGAATAATAAAATTACCAGTGTCCTTTGTTATCGATCCTAACACTGTGCAAGCATATCATGCAGACCCAGTATAGCACAAACAGTCAGTACAGCACAAACAGTCAAGTGTATGGTTGGCTACTGTTGTTATGATTAGAACAACTACTTTTACCGACGGCGTGCTACACTAGTATCTAATATCTAAAAACAAATAATGGGTAACGCCAAAGTAGAAGCTTACCATGCTTTATAGCATAGTTTATTTGTTGCTCGAGTATGCTACCTAAATTAAACTGGCTTCAGGATCCAGATAGATCAGATATGAAAACATGATCTGGCCATCTCGTAAGTTTTGGTAGGATTTTTTTAAATAATAAAATTTAATGACAGTTATAAATAAGATAATGTTAAACGCTTAAGGATACAATAACCTATGTTTTTAAAAGTTCCGCGGCCACAAATTGCACCAAATTTATTTTTTCACCATTAATCACTAATATAAAAGGTAAGTAGTCCGTGGGGGTAGTGGGCTGTTATCCACTGTATCAGGATCTGTCTTATCATGCAGGACGTCTCCCTCCACAGCCTTCCCCTCCCCAACCTAAGTCAGGTACCCATTTTACTCTTGGGTTAAGAAAGTCTTCCAAAACGTATTTTCCAAGGACGCAGCTTCGGTGACAAGGCAGGATTTAAACCAAGGGCCTCTGGGTTATTGGCCAAACACTCTGCCGTTACGCCACATACATGACCCTACTATCGATATATCACTAACATATTGATCACTATTTCTACAGGCAATGAATGGTTGCAAATATTTGCTACCTTGAACGGGACCGGACAGACGACCATTGACGCCTGGAGTGCCGGCCCTGGTGTCAGCGTCTTACACGACAAGAACCCGCTTGTTGAGCAGTGGGGATCGCTTGACATCAAACAGGTAAGTTTCTATTTCTCCATTTCTCTTTCTCTAGTGCAATTTAGGCCACACCGAGTAATGTTTATGACATGATCAACGCGTGAGTTTATTTTCACCTGATTTGGGAAATTGATGGCTTCAGACTCAATATGCCAAAAAAAATATCGTGAACATTCGTCGGAAAGACAAGGCTCTAATTCATTGCTTAGTATTTTTTTAATTGGTAAAGTGTTACCGTGTTACATATGTGATGGTACCAGTGAATTAAAACTATGTGCACAGTTATGAAAAACTTTCATTTAGTCAGTTGTTTTTTTTAATGTGGTTTCGAAAAGAAATGGATGTTGCAATATTTGGCAGAGTATGGATAGAATATATACAATTCATTGAATAAGTCAAATCTGTTGGTAATTGAGCTCCAGTTTTAGATAGTCTCTAATCTGATAGACTATCATGATCAGGGATCCAACAAACTCGAGGCACAATCACTTCCGTTTTATTAATGAATGAATGAATAAAGACCTTTATTGTACAAACATACCAACTGTGTTAGGTACAAAGGTTAACTTGAATACACAAATATATACACAGCAAGATCAATCTAGTACTAGCACTACAGTCTGTTACATAATTTCGACTTGTCTTCGCTTCTCTGTGATGCTGAAAAGATAAGAACATACAAGATTAAGGATCGGGGGTTTGTCTAAGTTCATTAAAAATGTGAATTTGTCTGTATTACTTAGGTGTGTAAAGTAGGGAAACATCGATGTTATCCGTCTATTATGTTCAATTCTCGCACTGTTATACAAACTGCAACTATACTACAAAATGAAGTTCATCTTCTATTCTATCTAGATTACAGTATCGACAGTTAGGCCATGTTGATTTGATTATATGGATGACATCCTCCGGGAGCCCCAAAACTGATGCGCGAATAAAAAAAAGTTTTGCAAAAAAAAAAAAAGTTACTTTTCATTATGAAATCTACGTGGTCATGAGGGTTGAGCAAATGGCACAGAATATGGTTTGGCGAATAATCTAGTCTTCAAGTTCATTTCTGTACAATTTCGTCTTTTTTCGTTTGATTTTGGCATTCTACGCCATTGGTATAGCTTTTATTAATTTTTTTTTGTAACTTATGGTATATTTTTGCTCATTTTGCAACTGTTTTGTACGATTTACAGTATGGTTGAAAACTTTTTTTTTTTGGAAACGGCCGAAAATTCATGCGCGCGCGGATGTCATCCATATAATCAAATCAACATGGCCTTACGTTGTTCCAGAGGAGTGCTAGTGCGGTTATGTCGACCGGTCTCAATGTGTAGTTTATGGCAGCTGATCTGTAGTTTTGTGACGGCGGTTTTGTGCCGTGTGTTGTCGATATTTAGGTACTGTTCTTGTTTATGGCAAGTGTTGACAGTCTAAGGTGCACTGTACTAACTACCCATGATGGTAAAACGAGAGGTTTTTGACAACTGTGCTAGTTATTGAGAGGTATACACGTACACAAGGACGGGTAATACTGTTATATACAGGAATAAAGAACCATTGGTGGTGGCGTCATATTTTTTCGACTAAATTCTTGTTAATATAATAAGGTTTACGTTCTCAACATTTGAAAATGTAGAAATCTTTTTTTATTTTGCTCGCCTTATTTTTTTTCGCTCAGCCGCATTAGATTTGTCTAGAGAGGTTGTCATCCATAAATTGTACATGTTGAGGCCTTATGTTAAACCCCAAGCAGATCTTTTTGCTGCTACAATAAAATGTTCCTATTCATCTAACGTAATGCATCTAGCTCATCTTGAATATGAACATACAATGACGTTCATTACCATTGTTTCTGATAACTAGCTGCAATTGTACTTTCATTACTACCGTTATCAGGTGAAGATCGTACTTGAGAGCTCCAGCGGAGATGTCGAGTTGATCTTTAACGGAGAAAACACGGACAAGTTCAGCTGGTTTTCCCAGTCTCGTCTGCTCTCATCTCCGTGGGACGACATCCAAACTCAGCCTAAAAACTACTTCTCCATTGTAGGAGACTCTGACAACGAACGGTAAATATTCAATAGCAACATTCTATATTCACAAGACCCGACGCTTCGATGACCGTCTGTCATCTTAATCAGGCCTAATGACTACATTACTGTGCACTGGAGCTAGGTGTTACTGGCACACTCTACACTAGCTTAAATCCACCAATAAACTAGGCATATTAGCCCTGATAAAGATGACAGACGGTCATCGAAAATTCGGGCCTTATGTAGGAAGGTGGTCGACTAGCTTGGTTCCCTTGGTCTGCATCTTGGACGCTCCGTCAGGTTGTAGCGACCCTACGGGGCGTCTCATCCGTTCTTTCGGTAATTTAATACAAGACGAGATCGCCAGGTCACCGTCACGGGGATGATTTTAAACACAATGTGGCTAACATGAGGCAAAGGGTCGCCAGTCCTCCTTCCGGGTCATCTGTTGTGTTTTTACCATAGTATTTGGCTTGGCATCTTAAAGCTTGACATGCCCTTTTCTTTTTCGAAATGTGTGGTTGGTATTTTTTGGTTGATTTGAACCAGGCCCTCTTGGCTATGGACCAAATACCAAACCGTTACGCCACCGACACCGCAATTAAAATTGTCTCTAGAAGCAGTATCTAATTGCAACTATCACTGATTCTCAATCCCCATAGAAGCTTGGTCACAAATCGCAGATGCGTTTGTTTTGTCCTGCTTGCATTCCTGGCACAATATTTTTTTAAAATAATTTAATGATCAACTTAGATCAGTATCCTATTTATCATGCTCGGCCATGGACCTCCGGTATGAAGTTATGCGGAAATAGTCGTCTGAAGCCAAAAGTTGACTATGCGCTGAGGCGACCGCCCTAAGCGGGCGCCCATTCCCACCCCAAGCAAAACCCGTCGTGCCGGCTCCAGACGCGGTCGGAGGCCCCTGGCCTGACCGGATAGAATGACGTCATGCTGGCATTGCATTGTGGGTGATGACGTCATACCTTCCGGTCCAATAGCCGAGCATGACAAATAGTATCCTATTTATCATGCTCGGCCATGGACCTCCGGTATGAAGTTATGCGGAAATAGTCGTCTTCCGCCTTCACCCTTCTCTGGCTGTTGATCCCTTTCTTCTTCTGCTACCAGTCTTCCCAATCCTGATACACTTTCCACACTCTTTCCTCCCCCTTCCTCATTCTTTCTCTCTCATCTTTCCAATCCTGATACCCTTTCCGTGCACACTCTTTGTTCACCCCTTCCTCATTCTTCCTCTGTCATCTTTCCTCTCTCACTCAGTCCCTTATGAGATCCCTCTCATAACCTCACTCTGCGGTACGCTCGCTTTCATCCCCCTTTCTTTGACTCCGATTTCCTACCCCCAATCTCATAATGCCTTGAAACTCCGACATCCAGCCCAGTCTCCTAACATCACATTGAATCATCTTACCCCACTCTGATCTTACTCCGGCTTCCTACTATCACTCTAGCATAAAAACTACCCAAGAGAAAATCTCTCCGTCTGCGTGGTGTCCCGTCCAGGGACTTTGCAGATTATTGACTTTGACCTTGAACACTGTCTCCCGCAACCACAACGTCTTACAGCAACTTCAGCCCTCTGCTCGGCTTACATGCGGCCTCTCGCATGCGGCCTCGCCGCCTACCGGTTTTCTCGGCATTCTGACTTACTGGCACGCGGCCTCCCGCCGCACTATGAACCTTACGACCTTCTCGATACTGGGCCGCGGCCGCTCCACCGCCTTACAGTTCCTCCAGCCCACTTTCCTCTCTCTCTTATATTTTCTTTTTAACTGGCACGTGGCCTCTCGTCATCCGCCTAACAGCCTTCTCTGTTACCGGCACGCGGCCTCCAGCCGCCGTATAGCCTTCTGTGTTACTGGCACGCGGGCCCTCGCCGGCCGCCTTACAGCCTTCTGTGTTGCTGGCACGCGGGCCCTCGCCGGCCGCCTTACAGCCTTCTGTGTCACCGGCACGCGGCATCTCAGCCCCCGCGTGCCGACAACACAGCGCAACACAGCGTAACACAGCGTAACACAGCGTACTTGCATCCTTCAAGTTGCAGCAGCGTCGGTCACTGGAATCGGGGCACCGCTCATTCGGCTGCTGTTTTCTCGGCGAGCTGCATCGGTAGTCCACTGTGCCCTTGCTGCTGACGGAGAAACAAAGCGAAACCTGCAGCTGGCCCAAACATGTTGCAAAATAAGAATACATAGTGCATACCACCATATCAACACAAACTTCCAGGTGAAGTGCAGGAACCCATGCACAACACGCTAACACCCCACTACATGACAAGACCACAACACCAGCCACGCAATCAGTCACTCTTTTCTCCCCCCCTGCCTGGAACCTCAATAGTGGGATTTACCACGCTAGCATGAGTGAACGCAGGCCACTCAAACCTCACACAGCTAACACATACCAGTGTTCTTGCGCACCGCACCAAAAATTAACATGACACAACATCACATTAGCATTACACACACGCAAAATGTGCTGTGAGAGGCATGAGCGAACACGTGGCACCTGGCTTAGTGGTCCACCGGATTGATAATTCCATCAACCCAGAGCAGCAAACCACTGTAAAAAAAAGAAAACAAAGAAACACGACCACAGAAAACTAGCCCGAGCTCGCAACACTCGGACGAGGTCTGCCACTGGGGGACCCTAAATAAACAGGGTCGATGAGACTACACACGTCTGAGAACGCCAAAAGAAAAATTTACAAGAAATCTGAACGAAATAAAAAAAAAGGACCGTCAAATATATTACAATCCTGCAACCGCCGCCTGGTCCTGCTAGAAATGGGCGTCCCTGAATTGCCCACGGCGAGGATTGCAACGGATTGCGATCCCTCTTTCATGAGGGCGAGAGGGGCAGCCATCTTGCATCTCTGGGCTGGTCGCCTCGCCCGTACCTGAAAACTGTTGAATCGAAGGCAAAACTAAAAATTACATAACACTGGATTAGTTCCTGGTCTAAATGTTCCGTCCCCGCTGACAGAAAACGTTTCTAGCTTTCCCCTGCGAAGGATGGCAACGGATTCTATCCTGCAAAGAAACAAACCTCTCCATGGCCAGACTCGTTTCGTAGGCATCCTTCCTTCCTGCTCCTTTGAAACATACATCCAAGGACAATATTATCCGAACGAGTTATAAAACAAAACACAGCCAACAAAAACTGTGTCTAAACTTCGCCTGTAGCTCTCCTACGGCACCCAAACCTGCTCTGCCACAGCACGGCGATCTACCGTCTCAACGCCGCGGTCGCCACGGTCTCCCCGCACGAACAGTCCCGCCGGAATCCGCGGTGCCTCGCCTCGACGGGTTTTGCTGGGGTGGGGTGGGGGGCTGAGCGTAGGCCAGACGTGGCCGGTGGAACCGGGCCTGACCGGATAGAATGACGTCATGCTGGCATTGCATTGTGGGTGATGACGTCATACCTTCCGGTCCAATAGCCGAGCATGACAAATAGTGACCCAATTTTTTTGCCCTGCAGTGGCGTAGTTACTTCCGCATTCGTTGCGTTTTGCTGTGGTGTCATGCGTTGCACGAAATATTCCCCCAAACCGTAGCTATACAGGGTGTTATATAGATGGTACTGTATGTGAAGAACAACAATTGTTGTGCTCCGCAGGACATGGGTTTTAACTTAACAATGAAATGTGAATGAAACAAACGCTGCAATGAAAAAAAAAAACTTAATTTACTATTTACTATTTGGAGTCTAAAATTCTAGTTTCTTGTTGTTTATGCAGAACGTTTTTCATCAATCGGAACTACGGCAGCTGTCCCGAGGACGCTGGTTGGCTGATAATCTCCGAGGTTGGAGGTTGCCCATATGAGCAGACAACTTCGGACCAGTTTCCCTACATTCTGTTTTCCCGGGAAAATACATACGTAGCCTGGGATGACCGTAAGTGATACATTTCAGGGTCTCTTTTTTTGCGTTGAAGCTTTGTTTTAACGCAAAAAGTGAACTAGTACTCTTCAGGAATTTTCGGTTGTTGTTGTCAACATTTGTCGAATGAATGATTTTGAAATCTACTATTTTGCTTTCTTATAAATGACCCACGTGTGTTTGTGTGTGCATGTGTGCGTAGCCTGTGCGCGTGTGTGAATGTGTTTTGTATGTATTCGTTTGCGTGTATGTATATGTGCGTGCGTGTGTGTGTTTGTGTATGTGTGTGTGTGTGTGTGTGTGTGTGTGTGTGTGTGTGGATCTTAGTTACCTATGAAGCTACCTGTTCTAAGATAAGACCAGGTTCAACTTGTCACTCCAACTGTCACACGGTCATAAAAATTCTGGCCTTTTGTTAGCACTTTTTAGTGGTTTTCTCTATAACCTTGAACCATTTATAACTCTTGTTATTCAAGCTGGTTTTATATTTTTCAGGGGACAAAGTTGGAAGAGCCAACCGCATGGTCATATACATCAAGACGGGTAAATTCTACTTTTCATTTTCTTCGCCAAGAAAGTTGATGTTTTAGTAGACGTGCGTGTGTGTGTGTGTGTGTGTGTGTGTGTGTGTGTGTGTGTGTGTGTGTGCGTGTGTGTGTGTGTGTGTGTGTGTGTTCGTTCGTATGTTCTCCTGTGAAAAGCATAACTGAAGAAGTCTTTGATGTATCGTCATGCTTTGTGGGTGGGTCTTGATTAGACCTCAAAATAATTTTGTGCCCACCTCTTGCGACTTTTGATGGCGCCGCAGATGGCAGCTTTGGGTGGAATGCTGTCATCTCTGAAACGTCCGACACGGATCGAGATTTTTGTCTTGTTTTTATTGCGATTGAAATGCCATGTTTGCATGAATGTCAGGCCGCGTGAGTAAGTGGATGAGATTATTCAAATCCACATTAACAAGGATTATGGTCAAGGTCACCCACAATGACGGCAGTTTCATTGTTACATGTTACGAAATTCACCCTAAAATGGCACATTAGATGTACTGTCTCGAAATCGGTGAATATTTCTGAAAAAGCGGATTTTTTACTGTTATGCTGAACCCATGTAAAAGAGGTTTGAAGTAGCGGGTTGTTGGGAGTTGACTGTAAATGACCGCTGGTGACCCCGGATCGAACGAACGTTCGGTTCGAATAGTGTCCTATCGGACAGGATTCGGTTCGAAAAAAGGTTGGAATATTTCGCCCAAATTTGACCGCCGTGTATGTGGTTATAGAAACCGACCATGGATTATGACGCCGTATACACCAAGTGAAAGCGGTCCGTTAACACTATTTTCATATATTATGTAACTATTCTAAGTTTTTGTAAACTAATGTATTGTGTGCATGTCCTTCTGATCATTTTACGTGTTCAAAGTGGGGTCACCTTCGAAACATAACGCATGTTTTATTGGGTCAGAATTTGTATTCAAGTTGGGGTCATTGGAAGAGAATACGTATTCGAGGGCCAGTACCATACTACACTTTTTTTCTTGCGATCGAGAATAATTAAATTTCTGAAATTGACATGTTTTTACCACACAGCAATCGACTGCCCCCTGGGGTATCTGCAATGCAAAGACGGGGATGCCTGCCTCCTGGCGTGGAAGTGGTGTGACGGCAGGGTAGACTGTACAGACGGGAGTGATGAGGAAAGATGTGGTAAGATGGTCTCACTTACTACACACTGCACGGACATTTGGATTCCCCGATGGTAGTTAGTGCCAACAAAATCGGTATTATTTTTAATAGTACCAAATCCCGCAATCGTAGTAAATGATATTCAAGTCTATCGCTGTTACGCCTAGATCTGTTTACAAAAAAAAACATCACTCGACTGGTAATTACTACCATCAGTAAATCCCCCTTTTCGTGCAGTAATACGTACATTTTCTCGTAAAATTTATATTGTATTCTTCTACATAATTACGTTGCAATGAGGTTGTGAAAGGGTGAGTCCATTTCCTTGTTTGCAGGAGGTCCTTTTTTTACACGGAGAGGGTCATTCTGTATTGACTTAAAACGCATGTCATCGCTTAAACACACTTTAAAGCATGCATAAAAGTAATGGCGAATGAAGAAAGGGAGCCTGTACGCATACTTTGAGTGCTTAAAGAATTGATTTTCAGTGGTGTTTGAAAGACTAATTAAAATGTCCATCTAATTTCCAGAATGCCTGACAATTCCCGGAAACTCCAACAATAGCAGACTTGCGATGTTACCGAACCAGCTGGGGCAGACGACATTCGAGGAGATACAAAATTCCTCGGTGGCCGAGCTGCTCAACATTAACAGTTCGTACGGCAACCCAGAGGGAGTCCACCCCGAGTTCGGACAGTTTGTATCAACGATCCTCTACCCGAGATGCAATGTCTCCGATCAAAATATGTGCCCATTGCCTGGAAATGGCATTTGCACGTGAGTAAAACACATGGTCTTGCATACTCACTGAAATCGTAGGAAATGCATCATTTGTATGGATTTACTGGTAGGATATTTGCTTAAAAACAGCCCTAACGTTTTAACTTTGATTTAGTCACCTAAGATAAATGGATGGATTTGGAATTATGAATTTGTAAAAAGGAAACCATCCTAACACATTAACAGCATTCTGATCGGAGTTTAAGTCGATAAGGACTCAATCTGTATCTCTCATGTTGTAAAGACCAAGCCCCACGATCGTTATAATTACGGAATGTACTGAATATGTTTTTTAGGGGTACACAGCTGCTACCGTGTCGCTCGTGGTGTAAGGAGGTCCTCAACACGGCTGATGACAGGATCAGGAACCTGCTGCCACAATGTGACGTATTCCCTCCTCCACAACATGGATGCTGGAACCCTGAGCCAGAAATAAAGAACAATGAAGGTAACAGAGAAGTTTACATCCAATACTCTCCACTGAAAAAAATCATGTCACTTACGTTTTACCTCTTCCATTTCCCTGGGTATTCAGTTTGCAAGTATGAACATGGGTAATATTATCCGAAAACAATGTCATCTGGTTGGCAAATGTAGCAAGTTATTTTAAACAGATAGTACATAGCAAGAAAGTTCATCTGTGTTGGTACAAATCATTATGAAATAAAGACTAAACTTTAACTTCCAACACTAGATATAGAATTGGGACTTACCCCACATTTTCGTTTGACTCCATCAACCTTGTTCACGGAATGAACCCGTCTACTCTTGGAGCGTGACGTCAGAGAGACGTGACCGTAGTAGCGGGTCATACATGCCAGATAACTTGTGTCGCCCCCCGTCTCTGTTCAGGGTAGGTCTTTGAGCTCAGAGACCGGGGCGACACAAGTTATCTGGCACGTATGACCCGTAGTTACGCTGTAGTTGACTTTCGTACTGAGATCCACAGTTATCTCTTCGTCGTTCACTTCACTTCATTGGGTATCAGCACTCATCATCATCATCATCATTGGGTATCAGCACTCTGAGATGTACTATACCTCTGATGACAGCTTTTCGGGAATGCACCATACTGTACACTTACATGATCAGGTACTTGGCAATTTCTCTTCCCCAGTTTGCTACTATGGTAGTGGCATGAACTACCGTGGTACAGGAAGTACCACTTTATCCGGGGCTGCCTGCGTAGAGTGGACCGCTGCGCAAGGCGGTTTCTACACAACCGAGTACCCCTGGGCTAACCTCGTCCACAACTACTGCCGTAACCCTACTGGACTCGAGCGGCCATTTTGCATAACGGAAGAAGGTAGCCAGGAGGAATGTGACCTCATTCCGTGCAGTAAGTTGTCTTGTTTGTTTGTTTGTTTGTTTTGTTAGGATCTCATTTAGTGTTTTGTTGCAAATTCACACTATTCTCCATTGAGTCTCCTACTATACAATACAAATAAATACAATTAGGTCAACTCAAAAGTAAGCAGAAGAAATCAAAGGAAACCATATAATAATTAAAGCACAATTCGGGCACTGTGCAGAGAAAAACAATAGTAATATCAATTCACAAATTGCAAACAACTTAAATGAAATTAATACAACGTACATTAAATATATATATATAAAATCAAAAGCAATTCATAATCAACCAAATAGAACTATAATATTTAAATAAAATTTAAAGCAATCTTGTACGATTGTCACATTGATAAACTAAACGGGATCAGGCAAGTCTGAATGGAATCAGTCAAGACAAGAGACATTATTCTGACCCTGAGATAGGTCATAGAGCTCATTTATTTCTTTCAACCGTGGTTAGCACAATATATGAGTGGCTGGAATCGTTGTGTTTTTTTTCTTGCCAATACTACAAGTAGTTTAGGGCTTTATGTGTAGTTTTATATCTGTCTTAATTGATGTCATTTCGACACTCATTCTCACGCCGGCCGGATATTTGCTCTCAATGCATTAATTTTTGTATATTCCTAACATAATCGTACATTATAATTTTTACACCCAGACGCAGACGGCTGCCTGGACCTGGGTCCTCCAAACTACGGCAGGAGAAGCCCTGGCAAGAGGTTCTACTTTGTGGGAGAAAGGGTCGCCTTCACCTGTAACGAAGGGTACTCCATTAAGTCTGGGTATACCAACGAAGTCAGGTGCATCGGAAATGGCAGATGGGAATATGTCAAACCCATTTGTTCAGGTAACTGTGGTAGAGTCATTGATGTGACTAGGTGTGCGCGTTACACAGATGCACATATTATCATTTTTTTTTGCATCTAGATAAAAAATCTTCACGACAGAAAGCCCAACACACTAATCTAATGCGGAAAAAAACAGTCAGGAACAGCGAAGACTGATGCAGTACCAAACAAAATTCTATCTTTAAGCTTTACCTAAAGTATGCGTAATGGTATAAGTCAGTAAACGCTCCTTACACATTTAGCTTAAAGATTCGCATAAACAATGTTTTTTATAGTACAAATTAGGTAGATCTAACGAGATACTTTAAAGGAGGTGGTGTAATGTTCCGGAGGCTCTTTTATTTCCAATATTTCTTTCTTTTTGAAACATGATTAAGAACAAAATAATGTGACAATAGATCAAGATATCTCTTGTTGATATCGATTGCCTTGTTGACATTTAACATATACTTTCTCCCTTCCTTAGTGAATATGAGGGGTAGACTGGAGAAAGAGCTGCTGGATGTGTACAGTCCGAACCTGACGCCTGAAGGAAACGTCCTCATCGGTTTCACTGGCTCTGTGGAACAGATCGTAGACTTGGTAAGAAACTTCAGATTGAATGAAATGTGTCATTTGGTGTCACAAAATGAGGTTTTCTCAGTATTTTGAGCAATACAAAGTAAACATAGCATCCAGACCAACATATCTCGCCGTTAACTAAGTCTGAAGACAAATGTAACTTGTATATAAATAAGTAAATTATCTGATTTGTGAATCAAACGAGCTGTAAACGTCCTTGGCTAATTACAGCAATCAAGTAGCTCCTGTTAGACGCAGAATGTCTAAATGGCGTGTCAAGGCGGACACTGCTCGAGTTTTCAAATGCGCACTTCTTTAGTGCAGTTGCTAATGCAAAAGAAACGTATACTTATGATTTCAACGGTAACAGATCATCACGGTTATAATAATACACCATGGCGAACAATTCAAGATATACAATAGTTTCTGTTACACATCTGGAGTTTCTTTTTGTTCGTTAAAATAACATACAAATGTAAAAAAAATGTTGCTGAATTTACGTTTGTGCTCTAGGTCTAACTTCTAATGTTTTTCAGGATGAAAAGAAAGAACAGCTGATTGCGTCTCTGATCTTCCAGTTTGTAAGTTGGAACTGTTATAAGACCTTATGACAGCTTTGAGCTTTCGGAAAAATGCTACTTTTTTTCCACGAGTGCGAGAAATTTTCCATTTTTAATGCATTTCTCTGATAAAATTGTCATTTTTCCAGACGTGGCAGGACAGTCGTCTGGAATGGGATCCAAAGTACTACGATGGTATCGACGTATTCAGTGTTCCAGGTAGCAGTGTCTGGACCCCAGCACTTAGCCTCAAGAGAAAGTACGTCGTCTCTTAACCAATTCAGTTAATATTACCTAAAATCAAGTTTGTTCTTTAATTCCGGTTACGGGAGTATAGTTTCGGGTGGCGTGCTTGTACGTTTGGATGTTTCCTGGTAACGTTTGCTACAGGATAGGGAGTAATTTTGACAGCTGGTTGGTAGATTCATGTAGGTAAGCGTTAATTGTGATCCAGTGTATGCCGGGTGTCTTTAAAGCTTTTGGTATATTCGTATAAAAATGGTAATAAATATACTGACAAGAACAACATTTGAACCTTACCGGTGTGAGTTACCTGTCAGTTACCTTTAACGCAGCTTTGATTTCTTTTAAAACTGGTGTAATTTTTCTTCAGGGAGGTAGGCCATCGGCTATGCGAACAATTACAAACAAAAGTGGACAGCGGAAAATGATAGCCTAGCCTTCTTTAGTAAACACTGAAGTTTGATGAAGATGATAGTATACATTGTATAAAGAAACAATGTTTGTCTTAAAAACGTTGCCATAGATTCGGTCTGATGAACATTTTTGTTGTTTAATTTCTAGCGCCGATCCTTCGTACACCGGCCTGGAAAAAGGCATACCAGTCCAGGTCAGCAACAATGGCGTGATAACCTGGAGGGTAGAAACCCTGACCACCACCATGTGTGATGCGGACCCCTTCTACTTCCCTGTTGACACCATGGAATGTCACATCTGTTTCTCCGCTACCGCAGCAATCGGCCAGTCCATCCGTAAGCCTCTACAAACATTTATGAAAGCATATTAATGTACGAATTAGTTTAACAAGGGATGTTCTGCATGTAACAATACTCTCCTATGATATCTATCTATCTATCTAAATTTATTTCAGTATAAGCCACAGAATCCATGACCCATGGTGATTGAAAGTGGGAATTTCTAACTATGTATAACCTTTTGAAAAACCATTGCTAATACTTTGATATGTTTAACACAGAATGTGGACACGGGAACTCTACAGAAGACTATTCCAGCAGCCTTACCTGCGATGCCTCCCCTCCCGCTATTCAGGAGGGTGAATGGTATCGGAAGGACAGGCTGTTCGCGAACGGCAACAGGGAAGCGTGCTTCGCAGTTCAGCTGGAGAGGATTCCCTCGTTCCACATCGCCACCACTATCGGGCCCTGCGTCATCCTGGTAGTACTGATGGTCATCACCTTCGTCATGCCACTGGACAGGGGAGACCGGATCTCGTTCGGAGTGACCATTCAACTCTCCATGGTCGTGTCTCTCGTGTTCGTCACGGACGTTCTTCCTGTCAAGGGAGCGCTGCCGTTTTTCGGTCAGTATATGTGATGATAGCTCAAGCCATCTTGTCTTCTTATATGATTTTGTTTTCAAATATCGATAAACAAATTGTTCACGTGGGTATACATTCAATCGTTGGCAATTTCTTTGTTGTCATAAAATTTCTTATTGTGTGACAACTGTAACTGTTAACAACGGGTGTCGTTCCAGCCACGCTGATCGTCGTGTACATGGCCCTGATGGGAGTTTTCCTCTTCTTCACGATGGGCATCATCACCATCCACGACATGGAGGAAAGTCTGTCTCCGTCCGCGAAGACTTTCTTTCTCCGCTACATGGCAAGGTATGTGCTCATCGTAACGTAGGTTATTAGAAAGAATAAGAACATGCATCAAGCATGGGGTCCATTTCTGCGGTCGAATCGGGGTAGGGTTCTATGTCGCACATAGCCCATTTTGGATTGTTTTATAGAAATGGATCGCAAAAGAAAGATTAACATTCACATTCCGGCAAAATTGATACTGTCTTACTAAAAGATCAGGTTGAAGATTAATCTGTGTATGCTTTACCTGTTCTAGCCAAATATTCGACTAGGAGGTGGCAAACACCATGCTAGACTGGCCGAGAACACGAACCAACAGATATAAGAACTCACCCATTACGTTTATGTGTCAGCTGCCCAATAACTCTGGACTGAATCCGTGACTGCTGCCTTATTAGCACAGTGTTTCAATTATTAACAGTGATTGTCCAGGGAAATTATATTATCTTTATCCAGTATATTTTATGGGTCCTTTAATCTTGCTCCTGTATAACATATTTTAGAATGTATGGCTGTATTTTAGTATATATCAATGCTTTGTAAATCGGTTAACGATTCAATTTTAAATTGGGAAGAACCAATAAAACCTTAATTATTCAATCTTAAATGAATCTTGATTATGAAGCAAGTTATTTGTAGGAAAATATTGATTGCTTAATGACCTATTTATTCTATTCATACTAGTAGGATATAGGACATTGTCGTATGTAAGAGGTTCTACTATCTTAATTGCCATGTTACTATCCCGTTGATGTTTTGTTTAGGATGCTGCTGTTGGGAGACCTCACGAAGAGGAAGGGTCCAAGCGACGACGAAGAGACTGACGTGACCAGCCACACCGTTATAGAGATGGCCATCGAAGACACGAAGGCGGTCTCCGGAGAAGACTCGACCGACATCTGCGGAACAAAGAACCACCCATTCGCACCGGACATGACCGAGACCCTGTGTGAGAGTCCCTCAAGTGTGAAGAAGCGCACCATGGCAGGCACCAACCAGGCACAGGGGCTTGACGAGCTCTTTAAAGCAAAGGATAACGAGGAGGAGAAGGATGTGTCCGACTACACCCTGCTGGCCAAAGTCCTGGACAGGCTGTGTCTTGTCCTGTATGTCATCTGCATCTCAGCGGCAGTGCCCGCGACCATGTATCTGGGGAAGTAAATATCTAGGTTGGGATAGTTTCAATAAGACGCAGCATTATGGATGTCTCTTTATTGTTTCTCACAAGTTCAAACACATTTTGGCAGAAAGGGGCACGGATGTGCCTTCCCGGAATTACGTGAGTTTATTTACAACAATGTTCTCTCACATTGCTATGTACAATAAACTACTATGAAGACTGCAATTACAATATATTAAAATGCACTCAAATATATTATAGAAAGCAGGAAACCACGCCACGGGGCCGATAGTGTAAACAAACCCAACCGATCTGTACCAGTTTTTATGCTAGTTATAGGAACATACAAAATAACTTGAGCTACTAAACATTGACGATGGTGTAAAGGTACTTATATCAAAGAGTTCTTAAATAATGACGATGGTCTGAATTTGGACCTTGCGTGATGTGTGAAGGTACTTATATCGGAGAGTTCTTAAATATTGACGATGGTCTGAATTTGGACCTAGCTTGATGTGTGAAGATCCTTATATCAAAGAGTTCTTAAATATTGACGATGGTCTGAATTTGGACCTAGCTTGATGTGTGAAGGTACTTATACCAGAGAGTTCTTAAATATTGACGATGGTCTGAATTTGGACCTAGCTTGATGTAGGAAGGTACTTATATCAGAGAGTTCTTAAATATTGACGATGGTCTGACTTTGGACCTAGCTTGATGTGTGAAGGTACTTATACCAGAGAGTTCTTAAATATTGACGATGGTCTGAATTTGGACCTAGCTTAATGTGTAAAATGTACTTATAATCAGAGAGATCTTAAATATTGACGATGGTCTAAATTTTGACCTAGCTTGATGTGTGAAGGTACTTATATCAGAGAGTTCTTAAATATTGACGATGGTCTGAATTTGGACCTAGCTTAATGTGTAAAATGTACTTATAATCAGAGAGTTCTTAAATATTGACGATGGTCTGAATTTGGACCTAGCTTGATGTGTGAAGGTACTTATACCATAGAGTTCTTAAATATTGACGATGGTCTAAATTTGGACCTAGTGATATGTGTAAATGTACTTATATCAGAGAGTTCTTAAATATTGACGATGGTCTAAATTTGGACCTAGGGTGATGTGTGAAGGTACTTATATCAGAGAGTTCTTTAATATTGACGATGGTCTGAATTTGGACCTAGGGTGATGTGTGAAGGTACTTATATCAGAGAGTTCTTAAATATTGACGATGGTCTGAATTTGGACCTAGCTTGATGTGTGAAGGTACTTATACCAGGTAGTTCTTAAATATTGACGATGGTCTGAATTTGGACCTAGCTTGATGTGTGAAGGTACTTATATCATATAGTTCTTAAATATTGACAATGGTCTGAATTTGGACCTAGACTGATGTGTGAAGGTACTTACATCAGAGAGTTCTTAAATATTGACGATGGTCTGAATTTGGACCTAGCCTGATGTGTGAAGGTACTTATATCAGAGAGTTCTTAAATATTGACGATGGTCTGAATTTGGACCTAGCGTGATGTGTGAGGATACTTATATCATAGAGTTCTTTAATATTGACGATGGTACGAATTTGGACCTAGCGTGACGTGTGAAGGTACTTATACCAGAGAGTTCTTAAATATTGACGATGGTCTGAATTTGGACCTAGCGTGATGTGTGAGGATACTTATATCATAGAGTTCTTTAATATTGACGATGGTACGAATTTGGACCTAGCGTGACGTGTGAAGGTACTTATACCAGAGAGTTCTTAAATATTGACGATGGTCTAAATTTGGACCTAGTGTGATGTGTAAAGTTACTTATATCAAAGAGTTCTTAAATATTGACGATGGTCTGAATTTGGACCTAGCGTGATGTGTGAAGGTACTTATACCAGAGAGTTCTTAAATATTGACGATGGTCTGAATTTGGACCTAGTGTGATGTGTAAAGTTACTTTTATCAAAGAGTTCTTAAATATTGACGATGGTCTGAATTTGGACCTAGCTTGATGTGTGAAGGTACTTATACCAGAGAGTTCTTAAATATTAACGATGGTCTAAATTTGGACCTAGCTTGACGTGTAAAGTTACTTATATCAAAGAGTTCTTAAATATTGACGATGGTCTGAATTTTGACCTAGCTTGATGTGTGAAGGTACTTATACCAGGTAGTTCTTAAATATTGACGATGGTCTGAATTTGGACCTAGCTTGACGTGTAAAGTTACTTATATCAAAGAGTTCTTAAATATTGACGATGGTATGAATTTGGACCTAGCTTGATGTGTGAAGGTACTTATATCAAAGTGTTCTAATTTATTGACGATGGTCTGAATTTGGACCTACCTTGATGTGTAAAGTTACTTATACCAGAGAGTTCTTAAATATTGACGATGGTCTAAATTTGGACCTACCTTGATGTGTGAAGGTACTTATACCAGAGAGTTCTTAAATATTGACGATGGTCTGAATTTGGACCTAGCTTGATGTGTAAAGTTACTTATACCAGAGAGTTCTTAAATATTGACGATGGTCTAAATTTGGACCTAGCTTGACGTGTGAAGTTACTTATATCAGAGAGTTCTTACATATTGACGATGGTCTAAATTTGGACCTAGCGTGATGTGTGAAGATACTTATACCAGAGAGTTCTTAAATATTGACGATGGTCTGAATTTGGACCTAGCTTGATGTGTGAAGATACTTTTTTTAGAGATTTTTTATATTATCGATTGTCTGAATTTGGACCTAGCTTGACGTGTAAAGGTACTTATACCAGACCAGTTGTAACATGTGTATTTTCTTCTTATGTTGTAGTTTATTACCTCCGGGGAAGGAGATATCCTTCCGCGAGGAGGTTTTACTATTGTTCGAAACATTTCTGTCAGCAGCTGTTTCTCGCGATCGGCTGGACGGATTGGTGTGTTGTTCGGTATACGTATTGCTATTGGGCTGCAGATGATGCAGAACGTTTTTGTTTAATTACATATGTGTTTATGGGCGTCGAAATAAAAGGTTTTTAAGTGCTCCGGACACCCCCGTTATGCTGAAAATGAAATTTACCATGTTGTTAAGGAATGGGGAGGTTGCAGTTTTGGGGCTTAGCATTCAAAAGGGGTCAAACAGAGGGGTGTCTGGTTCCGATAAAAACGTTGGGTGACGGCGCAGCAATGACGGCGCGGGATGACGGCGGGGGTTATGGCGCGGGTGACGCTGAACGCAAGCCGAGTCAGCGCTAGATCTTCGTGTCGCGGCATTTATTTCCAGAAATACGGCGATACACGTCAATATATTTATTTCAAGTACGGCGCGTAGCTAGCATCATGCCATGGCAGCAGCCAGCAGAAGCGGTGGGCGGGCGGTATGCAAATCTTGCATGACGTATCCGCGTTACGCGTCTCTGATTGGTTGTTCGCTTCAGCTGAGATCGCCGGGCGGCAACATGAAGGGCGCGGGGACGCGATTTTTCTGTTTGAAAATATGCACTAAACGCTGTTTTCCAGGACTGCATAGCCACATCTAGTGAAAAAGTGCACAATTAATATAAATTTGGGGGGAAATATTTGTTTCTTTGTCGATTTATGGTGTCGATTTATGGAACCCGGAAGTGCAGCCGAGACCAGCGCGCAGCGTAGACCAGCGTGGCAGTTTGACGTGTACGATCAAAACATAAACAAAACTCCCGCTGAAGAAGGGAAATTATCCTGTATGTATGCATTTCAGATCCCAGTGACTATGTTTACGATGGGAATAATTGTGGATACGCACGATGCGCACGATAAGCCTCAGAAATTTATGTCGCAAGTGGGGCATTCTATAGGCTTGCACGGCCAATGTCTGGCACGCTACGCGGCGTACGTACACTGCTGCACATCACAGCCAGCGATTCAGTGTCTCTATTTTTAACATCAGTATAACAATATTTTTAAGCATATGTGATCAAATTTCTGTAAAAAAAAATTGCACAATTGTAAACATAAAACATGAATAGATCGCTGCTATACTGGGCGTACCATTTCGCGTACATGGCCGGCTGCCCGGCGCAAATACTGTCCCGATTTTTCTCAGTAGAAAACCAGAATAAATCACGCACCCGTAATTTTGCTTCGACCCAGAGCTCCTACTTCAGAGTTGAAACCTCAAAAATAGTAACTTTATTAGAGCATGGAGGTATTATACCTCTATGATTGGAAGAAATGCGACACGTGCATAGAATTTGACAAATGGGGGGGCGGGCGTGGCGCTACCTAAAATTCTGCTGCGCTACCTAGTTTTTGCCCTAGGTAGCACCATGGTAGCACACTGTGCTACTTTGCTCAAAAAAGTATTTCGAACACTGCGTTAATCAACAGTCCATACCGAACCAACCGTCAGTAGCCATCAAACCGGCATACAAACATATTACGCACATAACTTTCATACTACACACAAACAAATAACCTAAACCAATAGAAAAAAACCCGGAGGTTTGAAATCTGCGATTTCCCTTGTTTATATATATTACCAGGTAAGATGAATTGCACCGATGTGTCTTAGTGTCTACTGAAATCTGAACGGATAATTCCCATCATAGATTCTAGTCATAGTTTGTCAACAGCTGTGTCACGGCACAGGCTAAATATCAAATAAGGAGTTTGAATACATACCCAAGCAAGTTGGAACGGCTTTTAAATTGGTTAACAAATGGCCAATATGCTCAACTTAGATGACAATTTGAGTTCTTAAAGATGATGGTTCAAGAATATCGACCTAGCTTTACATGTAAAAGTATCTATATAAGAGCAGGTGTATTTTCTTCCGATTAGTTTTAGGTTATGTATCTAACCAGGAAATATATTTTGATGTTATACGTAACAAGCTATTTACATTTCTCGAATCAAGTACCATAGATTTTAAGAGTCTCGATGTTGGAGACAGTTTTGAATATATCTTTACATGTAATGGTCCCCACAATGCAAAAATAGGTAGATATATAAAGGAATGCTTTGCTATTAGAAAAAATACCGAAACTTGTGATTAGCCCACTTGATTGTAACACTTTATCAACGACTTGTGATATCTCTTATTATTTGAATGATTATGATATAGATATGTTAGGTTTTATTCGACATTAGGTCTTATTCAACACACTTATTTTATTGTTTTTACTCTCTTTATGTAGTTTGCCATACAATGTACCATGTGCATTTGTCGTGCAATAAAGTTCTTCTCCTTATTTTGTCCGAATTTGTTTTCAATGTGTCCTTGGCGGAAGTCCCCAAACATAGCGACTAGGTTGTTAACATATGTGTGCTCAAACTTCTGCAAATGTCACATGGAAGAGTTTGTAAACCTACGCAAGGAAATTGTTACAGCTTCTACATTAGTCACCTAGATAGCATATAGTTAGAATTTAAGTACATTATCGTTTGGGATCAAGAACTTAATGATTGGCGTTGGTCTAAAAATTTGGACCTGCGCTTAACGTGTGTGAGTATTTAGACGAGACAAGGTGTAACAGTTGCATTTTCCATGCATGTTAAGTTTAAGGTGGTTCATTTGTCTAACCAAGAAAGATATATTGCCTGAATATGTTCTAATGTGTACTCGTTGGAAAACCCCAAACTAGATACCTTCTAAAATACATACATTTGGCAAATCTGTCGCCCCCTCCCAATGCTTAACATTGACCACTGAATTCGAAGAAGTGCCAAAAGTACAAGTTGTAAAACCTGCAAAATGTACTTTTTACTATATCAATCAATATCAAGTTTATGACCTTCAAAAATGTACAGATTTGGCAAATCTGTTACCGACCCCCTTTGAACATACCGTTTCATTTGTCTAAAAATATGGCGGCGTAAACAACGTGCGCGAGGGGAATTTTTATGATTTTTAAACTGCCAAAACTCGCGTAATTCACCAGCTAGCTTGGTAAAACCAATGCTAAATATATTTATGTTACATAAGATCAAATTATAATCTCCATATACTTTTTTTTCCATTTCTTCCAACATAAGCGTTAGACGTGGCTAACGTGCCGTTTTGAGCCATTCTGAAGTGATTGTGGCCTCCTTACGTAAATTTTAGGACCCTAACATGTCCTGATCACGAGATATTAAAACCAGTTATGCTGCAGTAACAAAACAAGCTAAACCACATACACACGCTGATATGTGTACATACAAACGCTATGGAAAACGTTAACCTTCTTAGCAAATGTAAAAATGATATCTTAATCCCTATTAATGAGACAGCTGACCATTCTTAAACAGGTATCGGGAGCTGGCTGGAAACAGTTGTTTAGATTTTTTCGGTCTCTACTTTCTTGGCGGAATTGTAGTCTTTCGGCCTGAGGGTGTCTTCTTCTTCTTTCTTTTAATGCCCACGATCATCAAACTGATCATTCTGGCATTGCCAATTCTCAACAAGACTCCGGATTGTAGAATTTGTACCATCGCACACCGGCGCATGTCCCTACTCTTTTTCGAAAGGTGTGGCGGGTTCCTTAACGTGCGTGAGGTGTGGTTCTCCCAAAACACGGGACCTCCATTTTACGTCCTATCCGAGGGACGTCAGTAGCGCAAGCCGAAGCTAGGTACTCATTTACACCTGGGTTAAATGAGAAAAGTCGTGTAAAGTGCCTTTCCCAAGGGCACAAGGTCGGTGACATGGGTGGGGATTGAACCCAGGACCTCTTGGTCCTGAGCCAAAAGCGCTACAGCCGCGCTACCCGACCCCACTTAGTCCGTTGCATACAAAACCGTGAAAGAAACTCCGGTCCGAGACCGTATGGGCTTCGCAGGGCAAGGGCTAACCTTTAAACTTCGCTCGGCCTTGGACTATACCAAGGATGAAGGGGGTATAAAATAAAGCATTCACTATAGTAACGGTTAAAATGCCATGGCTTACGAAAATTCAGTATTAACTTTTTCGAGTTTTACTCTCAGTAAGAGTAATTACATAGCAAGGGTCTAGATTCTAGCCCGACATCTGAAAGAACGCCATTAGTCAACCCCCCACTCTTTTCAAATAGAACGAAGCTCTTTGTTTTACGGAGAGTAAATTTTCTTCAGGTAAAACTCAGACGTTAAAACAGGCCACAATTTTCGCTGTGAATCCCATCTAAAACCATATATCAAGAGGTTTATAATCAATAACGAACACACGTATCATATAAACATAAAAATATCGATAGTAACGTCGTGTACAACTGCAATTACCCACGATCTGAAAGAGGACCTCTCGCGGCTCACAGTGCCCAACCGCATAACTCAGGTCAAAATAGTGTACACGTCCGACAGTCGCTTACGAAACTTTCCTGCACGATCCTGTCAGTAATAAACAACCTTTCATCTCACCTCCGTTTTTTAGATCAAGTCTGTGCGGTGAAAGGGCATTTATGATTGACCAAAAGCCACGCTGTTCGGGCTCAATTATTTTTTTTTTGGCCCGGACTCTCTACTCCCACGCGGAGTAATTGAGGAGCGAGACCTTCAGTGACGACAAGCGGTAGTGTAGTGCGATCCCATTTTCAAGATGACAAGTCTTAATCGCCAAGATCTGTTCCTTGAAATTTCCAAAAATCTGGTGGAAAATGAACTGAGGGATCTTCGTAACTATGTTAGTAATGGTATTTTGCCAGGAGGATTCGTCCAAAATGCTAACGCACATGAGATCTTCATTCAGATGGAAAAAGAAAACAAGTTGAAACTGGGAAATCTCTCACTTTTGGCAAACATCTTGGAAAAAATTGGGAGACATGACTACGCTGAACTGGCGAGGCAGGTTGCTGCAGATGAACAAAAAGGTACGTTACTAATTTCATTAGAATCGAATCATATTACATTTTTAAGGAGAGTTTTAACATTACAAAGGGGCCGAGTTCGTAAGGTAGGATAAACTTATAACAGCTAAATAATAACGGTTGCATTTTGTCACCAAGGGGAAGTAGAGCCAAAACTTAGCCGCGGCGACTGTTGCAGGGCTTCTCTTGCTTGCAGTCTTTTACATGAGCCCTAATGTTAGGGCTAATGTAAAAGACTGCAAGCAATGGAAGCCCTGCAACAGTCGCTGCGGCTAAGCCAAAACAATATTTCTAGCTGATTTCAACACTAATCGGATGATTAGTGTTGTACTAGTATACCCTGGCCTGGGTTAAGGGACCAAGGTACAAGGTACAAGTATATTTACCAGGCGTGAGAGGCAACAGCGTTATGTGGTGTTTGGTCGGTGCTGCCATAACTAGGTTGCCTGCGACGAAATTTGTTTGATCATTTTTATGGAAATGAAGTAAGATCATGGTTTGCATAGAAGAATTTACCCAGACCGCCATGAACACGGTCTACCTGAAAGACGGTTTGCATGAAAGCTTTTAAATGCCTTTATGTGTATCGAGTTGCTACATGACAATGGCGACGTAACGGATTGGACAAAGCAAATATTTGAATGGCAACACTGTAAGGATTGCTTGTACAGGTAACAAGCCAATCTGTACACAGTCTGTCACTACGGCATTCTTTTCCATTGCTAGGCGGGTTCAAAGTATCGGGTTACAAGACGCTATTTGGCCTGTTTTGGACTACCCGTGAAACTCTTAAAAAATAGTATTTAAGGGTAAATTCGTCAAATTAAAATAAAATTTTCGTCCTTATATCCTTTTAATGTTACATGTTTATGTTAAATCACTGATTTTTTTTTTCAATTTTACTCCGAAAACGATCATTCTCGGGTTTGCGAACACAAGTCATGTCTTGTTTTAACGCAAATACCATTGAAACCTTGCTACGTCTATTACCCTACCCCCCCCCCTTTTAATTTTTCGACGTTTAGGAATAAGATCAAAAATCGTGTTTTAGGGATTTATTTTTAAATTTCCGACTTTAAGTATAGTTTTTGTCGACAAATAGGTGAAAAATTGAATTTTTTGGCTTTTTATTGCATTTAATTACCCAAAATTCAAAACCAAGCGCATGCCATCAATGAGGTATGTTGGACTCTCCATGCTTCTAGGTTTAAACGAGTTTTGCAGACATGTTATCTTGCCCAAAAGTGGGAAGTGTGATATTCCTACTAGCGTGAAGAATCATCACGATATTCAAGGTCGCCCACGAATACGACAGTAGCTACGCTAAATGTTTCATATCGACAAAAAGAAAATGATAAGCGTACATTTAATATCCAGCAAACGGTTTGTATTTGTGATATTGTGTTTTTTTTTCTGGTAGGAAGTACTCGTGTAAAAAGGGCCTGAAAACCCGGGTTTACTGCAAATGACCGCGGGTGATCCCAGATCGAGCGCCGTTCGGTTCAACTCACGTCATATCGAACACGATTCGGGTTCTAAAGCAGATGGGGACATTAGAGCCCGGATTTTACCACCGTGGTAACGGGGAATACGCGGTATATATACCCTCATGACCACGTAGAGTTCATAAAGAAAAGAGCTTTTTTTTGCAAAACTTTTTTTTAATTCGCACGCGCGCACCAGTTTTGGGGCTCCCGGAGGATGTCATCCATATAATCAGATCAACATCGCCTTATTAAGCCTGATTTCACCTTTCTACTTTTTACGACCTACGGGAAGTTGCCATCGTCTAAATGAAAGGGAAATACATGTACCCTGCCTACCTGCCTATACATGTACACATGAACACATGTGTACCTGTACACATTGGTTTAAATTGAAAAAGAATCGTCGGTGTCTAACAAAATGTTATTTAGGCATATCAATGTCATCCTTAGTAGTCTATTAGTCCAGATCTGTGTAGACAAGGAAGTGTAAACACGCGTTTTATATGGTGAATTCCCCCAAGCAAAATGTAACATACAGAGTTCTCTTGTGCTTAAACTTGTCAAAAGGCAAAAAAATATTTGATAAAGGTTAGACAAAAACGCATAGAGCGAGGACGGGCGCTAGGTGAGGCGAGCTCAGAAAGCAGGTGACTATATTACAAGAGGCAGTGCTGTGCATTCAATGAATGGACGATTAAAAAAAAAACAAGCATTGTAGTTTGTACTTAATTGAAAATAATACGTGTTATGAGCCCCTTTGTACCATTTTTAGACAACCAAGCTAAAAAGCCATGCAGAGATTGTATTAAGCAAGTCTGTGTACCAAGAATGCATTTATTATGCCTGTTTAGAGGAAAAAAATAGTAAAGCAGGAATGTTACCAGTTTTCCTGTTTTGTTAACATCATTTTTTTCTTACTTGCTCAGTATTGTCGACAAAGTCTGGTTCATCGCCTAAAAAAGGAACAAAGTCCCAGAAACCTCCCTGTAGTAGTGTGGAAGATACCCCAGATGGTGAGTAGCTTATAGGGAACGATAATGAGACTATGAACGATAAAATTGACAGTTAAGTACAACAATAACACTTGCCGATTATATATGTTCCAAGGACTTGTTTCAATGTTGCGATGTCAACTTATACTGGCTCCAACAAGAATTTCGAACTCAAGATAACGGCAAAAGCTTGGCTACTTCTTATATGTTTACAATAAAATTGTGAAATCTGTCGAGAAAACGTATTTGTATTTGTATTTGTGGAAAGACGAATTTTTTCGGAGGTTTTCATATAAAGGGCCTGAAAACCCGGATTTAAATGACCGCGGGTTGATTTAAATGACCGTGGGTGACCCAAGATCGGATGCCTGTTCGGTTCAAATTACCTCAAATCGAACATGATTAGGTTCGAAATATATAGGTTGTGATCCTCAAATGGAACGCGCGTTAGATTCGAATTACCTAGATCAAACACAGTTTGGGTTCTAGAAAAGGTGGGAACTTTGGAGCCTTGTAGCTTCGCTTCTCAACCGAAATGAGGAAGTTTAACCTCATTTGCAGACTTTATCGGCCATGGAGTTGATTTGGGGAAGTGCTGAGACGCGATTTCGCTACGGCATATGGGATTTTGCCGCGGAGGGAGTTACGTACGCCGGCAAAAACTTGCTTCAGCGATCGGCTCCAGAAAATTTATCTTTGTGCTGCCGCTCAAGTCTTCTAAGGTGGTTTAACGAATGATAAAGCCACTTTGCGTAGATCGATCTCCGTTTTCTTGCGATGGTATGAAAATTCAAGTACAGTATATTTTCAAAACGTTTGATATTTCTTTGTTCGTTGTCACATGTTGTTTATTTATCTTATTGTCATGTACAGTTACCAGCGTGAGTCTGAGTCGAGCCATTGTTCTTATGTGGCCGTTAGCACATGTTGTTTAAACAGACAGCAACATTGAAGAAAAGAACCGAGTTAACAGACGTCGGCACGTTCCTTGAAGTCAGGTTTCCCGCCGTATTTAAATACGAAATGTGTGGGCCCGCGGCGTTTTGAAAAGACGCGACGCGCTTTGGAAAGACCCCGCGCCGTGGCTCATTCAAATTCGCTACATTTTTTGCTAAGTTTAATGTCTTCACCCACGATTTTTGACCGTCAATGTTGACGGTAAGGACTTAAATTTTTACCGTCCGACGGGAAAAAATACCGTCAATTGACGGTAAAACGGGCGCTGGCTAAAGCCCTGGTTGAATGTCACGAGGTTTGTAAACTTAGATGTTGGGGACAAAGCCATAGAAGAGATTTTGAATAAAATTTTATATATATATATTAACGTTACTTATAATTTAAGTTAAAATGTACTTTTGTGTCTCATTTTTTTATTCTGTTCAAAAGACTCTTAAAAGAGAGAAAACAGGTTATAAACTGTTAATGTACTTGATTTTTGTAATGTTTTAAACTTAAAGAGTTGAAATATAGAAGTGCATGTTCTCTCATTATATACAATGTTGATGAGAACTAGAACCATTTATATAACTTAGGTAAATTGAAATGCTAGGATGGGGAAAATGCTAGAATGCATTGCACTACGGTACGTTCCACCACCATATACTCCTCAACCATCCACCAGTTCGTAAAAACTGTAAGCCTGTAAGCGGCGAAAATGGTCAGCTTTTGCAGAAGCACTTGTTTTTTTTACTCCGTGAAGGAGGTCAGGACCTCCGGACGGAGTGTTGTAATCGGCTGATTTTTCATGTTCGCAGTCAAAACACTGGGTTCTCTTTGTGTAATCGGCACGCAATTTTATACGCCGTCTGCGGGCATGCCCGTGTTGATGCACGAATGTGTATTTTTGCCGTTGCTGCTTTCGCGGTCAATGTAATATGGCAGACGCACCCCTACAATTACGAGGCGAATTGGAATGGTCCAGAAAAACGCGTTGTTTGGAATAGCAGTGGGGTTCAAAAAAGTTCATGCAGATACGGGGTGGTTTTTATAAGTGGTTCCAGATGTTTTTGCCCATGGTTAAGAGATGCCAAGTTTTTTGGAAGATGTTCGCAGCCAAAACGCATTCTTCCGTACGTCGCATTTCTGTGTAATTTCGCATGTGGTGTTGCATTATGTCCGGGATGATGCACGTCTTTTTATTTTTACCGTAGAAATGACTTTGCGACACCAGCAATGTATATATCTAATGCACAAAATGGATGCACACAATATTGGCATTCTCTTGAATTGGTTTAGTCCATTAATTCAAACTCAATGAACTGGCGTTGCCTTCGCTGTTTTTAATTTGTATGTTTTTTCCCCTTACTACGGAAAATTGCATTATCTATGTTTTATTATCAATATTTCTCTAGGTACTTTACAACCATCAAGTACCAGCGAGAAGAGAGAGAGCAAAGAAACGAAACACGCCAAGCACAGACTACTGACAAAAAGTAAGAGGTGTTAAGATTAAAACTTTAAATATCTCGTTAAAATGATTAAGGTACACATAATTCTAGAGGGGTAGTAAAAACTACATCTCCAAACGTTATTTCTGTTTCATACCTACCTGTAAATGAGAAAAAAAAGATTTTCCCATTTGGATTTGTTGCGCAGCTTGTTTATTCCATGCGCAACTATGGATTCTCGAGTATGTGTATACCTACAGACGCTGAGTGCATTTTGAAGAAAGTTGTAGTTCTATTTTGAATGAAACGGACAAAATACAGATCTAACTTTCTTTCTATGAAATGATTAAAAAAGAAATGACATGGCACCTGATAAGAAGCAGTCTCTAGTTAGATCAACACTGCATTAAATCTAAATTTTCAGCAAAGCATTGCAGCATTCTTATAATTTCACATGCCTGCTACTTGATTCATTACACCACATGCACAACAATGTATCTACACACAGTGCTAATTATGTATTATATAGATTAGCATCAACTCACTCATTCAACTACTTCCATGCATCCTTATATCTATGTGGTGTATAGTGTTCAATGTGCACTGACTTAAGTCTGTTTATATCTTGCAGAAAGCATTAAGGCTCCAGACGGTTTAAACGTTATTGAAAATAAGAATGATAGTGTCAAGTTAGGATGGACAAAAGTCAGTTCGAACCAGATCAATGGCTACCGTCTGGAACAGTCTTTTGCATTCGAAGACAAGTGGATCTCTGCACAAGGCCGCAGGAAAATGCTGCCTGCTACAATCACAGAGTTCACAGTTGTCAACTTGGCGCCATATGAAGAATATCACTTCTGTATTAGATCAGCCTTAGACAGGAGAGGCGAGCTTGTCCTTAGTGAGAGATCCGTACCACTCTACGTTGTAACCAGAGAGCAAAGTAAGTATTCTTTTAAGGTGTTGAAAGGTTTTAAGAATATACGCGTTAGACAATGCAGTAAAAAAAGGAACAAGATAATACAACCCCCTCCCTATAGACTATGTAAAGGGAAATGTAATAATTTTCGCTGAACTTTCTTCCTTATTGTTCTTTCCCAGCATGTCATCTTTATCAAAAGATTCCGCAATTTTTTTTTGTGGGGGGATAATCCTAGTTGTCAAACTTTATAAAGACCTTTGACATAATTGCAAGTTTTTTTTTGGTGCGATGTCATCACAGTATTTTATCTTAGAAATTGTCAATGAACAGCGTACTAATTGTTCTTATTAATGACTAATAGATCAACCATACCCACCAAGAATGATAAGGGTGGCAGACCGCACACAGGTATCTCTCTCGTTGACATGGAAAGAGCCTGTACCAGCCCCTGATGTCAACCCAGCCTCCTACGAATATGTCGTTGAAATGTGCATCCACGGTAAAGACAGAACGCTGAATACATGGACAGAATATTGCAGAACAACACAGCGGAAGTGCACAATAAATGTTCAACATAATGGTGACTACAGATTCCGTGTTTTGACCAACAATAAGGAACACAAAATCAGCAGCCTTCCAGAAGAAATGGGTAAGAAATTTTCGCAATGCGGAGGTCTAATATCAATGTTTGTGGACATATCTATATATATCTATATCTATGTCTATATCTATATCTATCTATCTATCTATCTATCTATCTATCTATCTATCTATCTATCTATCTATCTATCTATCTGTCTATCTATCTCTCATACTGTCTCTCTCTTCTCTCTCTCTCTC